CCTAATGAGTCATCCCCACCACTAAATGACCTAGCGAAGCTCGAACTGCAAACTTAAAGAGCCAGCCCTCGCTCTAACCAGCGTCGTGTGTGGAGTTGCTTGGAGTCACTATGGGTCATCATTCCGCACATTGAAATCCAGTAAATGTTGCTTCCATTAGACATTCTCAACAGGGATCTGTTATCAAAAACATAGCCATTAGGCAACTGTCCTGAATAGCAGCTTCGTCATAGAATCAGGGGGGATTTCGAACATATATGATACATATCTACATACAACATACACAGGACTCCTAAATCACACCAGCCATTTTCGTCAAAGATCCTCAGATCTCATTACACCTTTGAAGTTGAGTCACTTGCGCATTCTTCTGGCACAGGAATGATTACTTTAAAGGACATTGAGCTTGGATATACATTACTTACAGAATGTGAAGGGTTAAAGTGAAGGCTAGATGAAGGGTTAATGGATAACAGACTTCCTCCGCAGGGAGCTCTCTAATGTTCTGAGCGATCTCCGGGTAATTATATTTTATTCCTTTTAGGGACGGAGGCGTGAAACCTTGGTGGTAAAAATCGCCCCGAGAGAGCAACCAGGGAAGAGGTTTTATGGGAACTAACGTTTTAACAACGTCACAACGCACAAAATGGAGTTATTAAAAAAATATTATATTTATAGATTATATATTATGAATATAAAATTCTATAGAACAGGGAAGTAAAAAATAATGCAAGGTAAAGGGGCCAACGCACCTCAGTTTGAAAACGATTTTTTCATTGCATCCCTTACATCATGTTACAAAAAAAAGGGGCTATTTTAATTAAACCGGGCAATTTAACCAGAAAAGACAATAAAGTTCAGTTTTTAGATACAGTCAGACATGGTCAAATTTTAATAGAATTCTTAATGATACAGGTACAACAAACATGCACAGCTAAGGCACTTACCTTGTTTAATAAGTTGGCATCGAGGTGGCATAACCCAGAGGGCACCATTGGTAAGTGGTGTAGGTAGCATTCGGTGTGGTTGTTGTGGTCATTACACAATTAGAATTACACAGAGATACATTGTGGAACCTCAGTGTTAAACCATTCTCTGTCCTTTCAGATCACCAAGATCTTCTCTCTCAGACAGTGAGCATTTCTCAGAAAATGGTTAGCATGTTTTTAATGGTTTTTAATGACCCGCAATGAGATTTAATATTTTTTTTCTTGCCTTGTCTTTTGGTTATAATGTCTTAATAATTCCTGTACTGGGGAACTCAGGTAAATGTTCGACATCTGCCATTGGACATGGGTAATTGTAAGCAGAGAAGACGCAAATCGGGGAGCACTTGTTTCAAATTATTTTGAAGATAAAGCTCACATCAACGTTCATAATTTAAAGGGACACTATAGTCACCAGAACAACTACAGCTTATTGAATTTGTTCTGGTGAGTAGAATCATTACCTTCAGGCTTTTTGCTGTAAACACTGTCTTTGCAGAGATAATGCAGTGTTTACATTACAGCCTAGTGATAACTTCACTGGCCACTCCTCTGATGGCTGTTAGAGATCCTTCCTGGGTCATGGCTGCCTAAAATGCATCCAAACATTCAGTATCTCCTCCCTCTGCATGCAGACACTGAACTTTCCTCATAGAGATACATTGATTCAATACATCTCTAAGAGGAGATGCTGATTGGCCAGGGCTGTGTTTGAATCATGCTGGCTCTGCCCCTGATCTGCCTCTTTGTCAGTCTCAGCCAATCCTATGGGGAAGCATTGTGATTGGATCAGGCCACCACTTCTGATGATGTCAGCAGACAGCTTGTTTTTCTGAGGCAAACAGCATGCAGATCTACAGCTTCAGGCTTGAATACAGTAAGATTTTGCTATTTTTAGGGAGGCATGAGTGGCCCAGGGGGGCTAGTTGGTGGTTTTAACACTATAGGGTCAGGAATAAATGTTTGTGTTCCTGACCCTATAGTGATCCTTTAACCATCACAGAGATAAAAAGACTCACCTTGTAAACTGTCCCGCCTGTACACCTGGTCTCTAAGGCCGACTGAGACTTCTGAGTGGGGCTCACACGGAGACTCTCGGGCAATGTATTCACCTGTAACAGAAATTCTATTATAGTAACTGCTAAACTAGAGAACGGAAACATTTCAAAAGGGTCTTCAAGATGATTATGTCATTCATTCACAAAGATCTAGACAGGAGCACACAAGTGGAATAACAAAATGGAGGCATGTATAGAAACCCACCAACAAGTCCCGTCTTTGTAATTGAAGCACTTTGTCACTAGCAATTAACTGGTGGATCTAGAATGCCTTTCTTGCAGCAAGAATGTTTAAATTTGAGGAACCTCTGCAGCTATATCCTGAAATAATGTAAGATTTTGCCTGGTTGAGGTTTCTCCCAACGGTTCCACAGGTAGAATGGACAATCAGTAGGGAACACCAGCTCAGAAGGTCTATGTCCCTCAATTTCCTGAGTGTCCAGGGACAAGTCCTATATTTACAACTTTTTCACCTTAAACAAGCCTGATGCATATTAATAGAAATAGACATGTTTCACACTGTATAACATGTTTCTCTATAGTTAGAATGACAAAATGTAAGGAATTTGTTATTCTTGCAATCTGCCAAGTAGCGATCTACCTTATAGATGGGGTTTCCCAGCTAACCACCTTTGGTACAGAAAATGGAACCATTGATACATCCAATTCACACCTCATCAGGGTGAAAAATGCCTAAAAAATGGGAAAATACCTAAACATGGAAAACAAATTCTACATAGGGAAAATAAATTTGTGTCCAATCGTGATCCAGTGGTAATCACAGCAGAGGACAAAGTATTCCATTCAGCATTTATAGTCGCTGTCCAGGCACGGCCCTTCTCAAACTATGGCAGTTTGGGGGTGGCACTGCTTGCTACTGAAAACCCCTTTAGATTATTCTTATATCATTGATGTATCTTTGTGGAGTCAACGTTTGGAATCTCCTATTTTGAAGACCGTGCAACTGACCAACAGTCCGTTCAAACAGCAACAAAAAACAGAATGTATTATGTAATTTATCTAAACCCTCCAGTACATGGGAGGTGTGATCATTACCTTCCCATCAAATTATCAGAAATCGGCCATTCAGTCCTATCACCAACATCAATTAGAATTATATATTGTGCACACCCACGCCACATAGGCCAAAATGCTCCCATTTTCTCAGCGTAGATTATTTCAGTCTTGTACTCTTACTCCTCGAAGGTCTGGTTTAATTAAAAGTTATCCAATAATAATATCCTAAAATTTTAATTCTTTCAATTTGCGGGGTTAATTCCCCCTGTGTATCCTGGGCTCCCTGTGATGTTCGGGGATCAGGGAGATTTAGTAGGTCATGATATTTACACTCCAAGGGCATTGCATTTGTGCAAGATGGTACCACTCTCAGCACCAACCATTTACAAACTTTATTCAGAACATATTGACCCATCCAAACGGCAAAAATATTTATTTTGTTCTGTGTAAGACATTACACTGCTGGCTCCGACACGCTTGGGATAGTCCTACTCCTAACTATGACTTTCATGATCAATTTTTCTCTAATTGTTTTAAATGTTCTGACTCCCCTTATTATTGATTTACAGAGACCCTTCCCAATAAGCTTCCTGAGACCATTCGAAAGCCGTCAAACACTTAAACCTATAAAGCTTAGATAATACTAATTCTAGTTGTAACAGATTTAAGCAGCCAAACTATTGATGTTCTAGATTAGGGTTCTTAACCCCTGGTTGCTTCATATTCATTAAACTCAAGGAACAAACATGTAATTGTTTATTGTACCAGCTCAGCCTTTCCTGTTTTAAGAAGATTCCCCCCCCCCCCCCCCCGACTATTCATGTTTATCCAATGACTGCAAGATATGGAGAGCTTTCTGTATCCTATTTTTGTGTTACATTAAAAAGGAGGAGGGAAAAAAGTCTGCTTTGTTAAAACTGTTTGTCAGGAGCCTTCACCTTAAACTTTGGACATTGGTGGAGTGGGCGGAGGAGTCTTCAGAGCAGTTAGAATTAGGAGTTGTTTTTGTGTCAAATAACCAAAAAATTAAGGTCAAAATGAATATTTCATTGTGTTTGCTCCAAGGCTTTCTACCGACTTGATGAGACGTGCAGATTGATATATTTATAACTGCCCTGTAACTGGGCAAGTCTTGTATATCTGATCATCTTTTGCAGGTCAGGAGCGGCCAAGAAAAGCGTTTTTTAGTTTGTCTCTAAAATTGTTCAACCTGAAAAAACACAGCACTTTCCAAACCTTGCTTTCTGTTTTATGAATCTAAATGTAGTCTGTTGTAAAAGAGGACAAACACTAGCTTTATTTTAATTTAGAATTAACAGGATATATTTAGGGTCTATATCAGTTGTCTTTATTTGCAATGTTTATGCTTTTATTGGACTTTATTTAAAACAAATCTCTTCATCAGTTGTGCACTCCTGTGTTATGTGCGCACTCACACTGTTAAAAATTAAACTACAACTCCCAGAAAGCCTTGCTGTGCACATAAAGCATTGATATTCTGTAAACTCAGCAGTTTTAAAGATGAATGGTCACTTCACTCCCATAAAGGATATTGGGGTGATGAGTACAGGCACCGCCAGCAGGTCATGATGCACCAGAAGTTCTCAGGCGCAGTGACAGTATGTGTGCGTTTGGTCATTCTTTCCGCATTACTATACATGTATGGAACTTCAAATTAAAAAGTGTTCCTCCACCCTTGTCCCCCCCATTATTTTAATGTATTATTCTTGCATACATTTTAATGCATTATCTAGATAATATACCAGACAGAACGTTTAGTGGTAAAATGAACGGTTTATTTTTTTTGCAGTTTGATGGAATGCAGTTCATCAAATCTTGAGATGGAAACATTGCAGTCTAGAACAGGAAACAAAAAAAATAAATCAATAATTTCTTATAAAGCAAAAATAGGAGCCGAGAGGCCAGCTGGATTTTTATTGTTCAAACAAACATACTTGCCAATAACCCCAAAAAAGGTGTCATGGAGAAAAACCACGTTCTTTCCCAGAAAACATTTCTGCCCCATGGATCTAATTCAGGGAATGCCGGAGATCAGATAACCAGAAGAGAATGGTCCCTTCATTGCTCTGGCTGTCTCTTTCCTGCGGATCGTAAGTGGGGTGAACACAAAACAGCAGACTTTCGATTTCTGTCTTTTTAGGTGTCCCTCACCTGGGTCGATCCATGTGTTTCCACACTGTCAGCGAGAATCACACAGCAGCTGGAGAGAAAGGAGGCGGATGGTGACATTACTAGCAAGGGACAATATGAGTCACTTTATGTCTGCAGAAAGCACAGCATGAGGTGTTGGGGCATCAGAGGGGGGGGGGGAGGTCATCCTCACTGTGTAACTGTAGCGGATCGGCAGTATTAAATCCACGAATTCCGCTGGTTCAGAAAGTAATCCACAGTCAGCGCTGAAAAGCAGGCAATATCCCAAATCTCCCAGTAACCGGACGAAACACAGTTCTGAGAGTCAACTGAGGTCTTTATTCACAGGCTCCACAATTTATACAATTCCCCATGCAAGAGGTTTCCTGAGTCCTATCCTAGGGGCATACCCAGAGTGGACTACGTGGGGAACTTACATTACAGAGCCTTTCCCCCCATCAGGCACTGCTGCACGAGAGGGATACTCCCACTGGAATGTGCCGTTAAGTGGATTATCCCTCCGTGCAGCAGAACCGTCAATTTACTCTAAAATATACAGTTTTTCGACTATTTGGTCTATTTGCACGAATGGACGTTCGGTAGATAGCTGGGGTCTGAGCGCCTTCGTGAGATTACCGCTCAGATCCCAGCTAAAATAACCGAACGCCGCACGAAAAACACATTTATTAAAACACACATTCAAAAGACCGATTGAAGTATAGGGAATACAATACCGAACGGCCCGGAACTCCCGAACGGCCTGGAAGCTCAGCAGTGTTCGCGCCGTCGCGAACATTGTTGCAATCGGTTAACAAGCGCCACACGTCTCTAAGTGTGTGGGCTATTAGATGGTGGTTATTTCAGTTCACGAACGGCCGTTCGTGAAACTAAATGAACTACAGCTATCTGCGTTCGGCAGATAGCCAATACAGGAAATACAAAGTATTACAGCCAGCATACATTATACTTAGTCACACACATATCCCACAACCATACATGCAACCCTTAAAGGTACAGTCTCTTTATATTGTCCAAGTGGCTAGGTTTGCCACAGTAACGTGACGTACGTGCTCTCATTTCAGCCAGAATACCATCCGGGGAACATGATGTAAACAGCCGACGACCAATGGGCAGAGCAAGAATAACAGCAAGATGACCCTAAGTGGCTGCCTAGTGCCCAGGGGTTAGACAGGGGCCACATTCACTATCCTTTAGTGAAGAATGGATGTAACCTGGCTAGGGCACTGTGGGGTTTTAATCTTTCTCTGCTAATGAGAAAAGGTAACGGTCATATCAGCTCACTCTCCGTATTGAAAGATGTCCTACTTGCTGGTCTACAGGTCCATTAAGATGATCTAGATCAGAAATCCAGGTCAATGGTCTCAGACCACTAATGGTGAAGGATTCAGACAATCCTATAGATCTTTAAATGGCAGCAAGTAGCAGGAGTGGCCATAATGATCCTTAAGAAATGGTTTGTGATTACTCAACACGTAGATAATGATGAGACGCAGAGACTTTAAGGATTCAGCATTTTAGAACTCATTCAGATTTAATGGACAGAGCAGCTATCGGGGTGCTTATATAAAATGTTGATATTGGGGGGGATATGGCTGGAAAAATCTGTTACCAATAGTACTGTGCTGGCGGCTGGTAAAGGGCTAAGGCTCTTCTAGATAATGACACAGAGCCAAAATATTATACTTGCTGTAACTTTAATAAATAATTATTTTATTAACATTAAATTGGGCCAAGATTGTTCTACAGTATATGCAAAACATCACATAGGGCCTTTAAATGGACGTAAACTTACATGAACAGACTGCGTATTTAATTAAATAATAGGGTATACCTAACATTTTTACTCTAACTGGTGCAGGACTCATCAAATAGTATTTCTTTGCAAATATGAAGGTGTCTAATTTGAAAATGTGCTATTCCTCAGTTAGTGGCAGACATCACTCAGATTGGCCCTGTGCTAGGATTTGTTATTCTAGCAATCTTTATTTTTATTTATTTATTTTTAGATCTGAACGGGGACCTAGCCAAATGGCAAGCTGTGCCCATTCTCAAAATTCTCACACTCTTTTTTTGTTACTCTATCAAACTGGCAACGCCCAAAGATTCCTTCTCGGCTCACGGCGCTCGTATGATTCCTGCGTATTTATAATCGTTTTGCCAACACCATTTCATTGCTAAGATAAACCTACGCGTTTTCCTGTTTCAGAGAACATCTTTGAATCCCGTTAAGGTAACAGTCAGGAGCTAAGCATGGCGGCTGCCTGCAACTCACAGGAAACAGCGAAATGCGAGAGTTCATTGTGTGTCAATTGTATTCATACAAACACAATCATTATTAAACAAGCAATATAACCACTTCCTTAGTAAAACAATAGACAACGCATTAAGGGTTTATCACTAAATTGGTAATTGTGGAGAATTGAGGCAATGGCACATTTTAAGTTAAAATAGCATATTTTGAGTTGTTCTACAAAAATCTATATTTCTATCTTAGCTATTTGGCTGAAATTTCGCAATTCCATTGCCGACTATTCAGACTGGGTGACTGTACCTACCTTGCACGGCGTTACATCACATGCAGAGCACAGGCTGGATTCAATACAGTGCTGCTCTATACAGTTTGTTTATTCACTTTACAGTGAATTTTATTGCTTTGAAAGCCAAATTCCAGACACAAGGTTAGAACAGTCAAATTGTTAAAGAAAAGCTGATTTGAGAATTTTTCCAATACCTTTATTGGTGTAAACTTACCATTTTAGGTTTCAATTGATCAATTCGCCATGGAAGGGGGTTAAATAGTTGTGACTGTTCTTGCAAACTATTAACCCAATGAATGCCACAGGGATTTAGAACGAGTTTACATCATTATTAAACTCCACAATAGTGTGGTTTTTAAACTTGGCAAACATTTACTTAATGGTTACTTCTCGCACCATAACCACTTAAGTGATTTGCAGACCGCTAATGGCGTAGCTTTTCATCACTTTCAGCCCATCCTATCTTTAGTTTTAGGTCTGAAAACAATATTTACACAGGAAAATCCTGGCACCATAACTACTATTGTGACCTGTGGTGTTTATGGGAGTCCGGTGAAATACATTATATTTGGTATAGTGAAAGAAAGAATGTATACTCTTCTACCCGTCTCCCAGTATAGTTAAGAGTATTTACTAAACAGTAAACTGCTGACTAATTTTAATAATTCAAAGTTAAAATAGAGGAAATTTTAAGATTGTTTTTCAGTTATCTTAATGCGTTTTCTATACAACGCATCTTAACAGTAACAGCCAGCTCTTGCGGCATATCCGATAAACGGAAAATGAAGAAGCGTTCAACTCTGACAGCATCTGATCTACAAGGTTAAACAAAACCTACTGTTAGCAAAAATACATCAATACTTACCTGGAGCAGATAAATATTAAATATTTGATTAATAAAGGATTTTTATATGTGGAATTATCGTTAACCTATACACGGCTTTGTCTTTCCCCTCCGTATACCACGGACCTTTAAGATTTATTTTTTTCATGATCATCTTAAAATCGATCTATTATCCTTTCCTGCAGGTGTATGATGCTTGACCCAATTTAAAAAAAAATAAAAAAATCCCTATTTGAATTTTATATTGATTCTAATAAAGGTTCCTTAATTATTATTATTATATTTATATAGCGCCAACAAATTCCGTAGCCCTTTACAATGAGTGGACTAACAAACATGTAGTTGTAACCAGACAAGTTGGACACACAGTAACAGAGGGATTGAGAGCCCTGCTCAGTGAGCTTACATGCGAGAGGGAGTGGGGTATAGTGACAGTAACAGAGGGATTGAGGGTCCCGCTCAGTGAGTTTACATGCTAGAGGGAGTGGGGTATAGTGGACACAGTAACAGAGGGATTGAGGGCCCTGCTCAGTGAGTTTACATGTTAGAGGGAGTGGGGTGAAGTGACACAAAAGGTAAGGGAAGTAGATTGGTAGAATAGTATTCACTGAAGACTTTGCATGTTTTTTGTTTGTTTTTTTAAAATGACAGCTGCAGGAGATGAATCATTTAAGACTTAATACAGAGTGCCGTATATATTTATTGTTTAAGGGGTGACCATATCAGATATTCTCATGTCGTCCCAAAGCAGATCTATTTCCTCTTTTCCTGCTTCTGAAGAGCCATTTGTCACAATGTGTCACTCTACTGCCCGATAGTTTATACAAGCAGTAAATAAAGATTAAACGGCGTACTGATTATATGTAACGTTTGTGAAAGAGAACACATTTAGAATTTTATCTGCTATAGTGGTTCTATTTTATGAATAAAGTAGAAAGACCAAGGAGACAATTACGAAACATGAGGTAATATTCTAGGAATTTGTCGACATTTTCATGGTGAAAGTTTTAAAAGGTTAGCGAGTGCTATAGCAAAGCATTCGTGTTAATACTGCTCAGGTGGAGCTCAGTGGTGGCCTCCATGCAGCATGTGACCCAACGCTTTATATTTTATAGTGGATCTAAAAAATTTTTTTTAAAACATGAATTTACCACCGTAGTTCCAAACTGTAATGTTTAGAGTTTTGATGGCATCCCATTCTGTAGACAGTTACACTGTGAAAATAAAATGGAGACAGCTGGAAAGCCAAAAATAACTGTTCTGGGTGTAAATGTATTAAGCTCCCTAATTACCTATATCTGTGTATCGCCAGCAAAGAGCTTTATCTACTATAACATTCGTTCCACTTTCATTCTGTCCTGCAACATGCATTTATGTAAAATTATTAAGCCAATTTGCCATCTTTTTCCTCAGTATTTACATGTAAAACATCATCTCATCGTCGGCTTCACCAAGACTCTTTTACACGTTACTCCTCACTTCGTCTTAATATTGTTATAAGTACACACCGTTGTGTGTGCAGTTTTCTTGTATATTTCCCACGCTCGCATGTTCTCTTTGTATATCCATTTGGACTATGTTCCTTCCCTCTTTACTATTGTGCCCTGTAGACGTGTTTGGTGCCCTGATATTGCATTATATATGTTTTAACGTTTTGGTTGGTGCTATGACTTGGCATAGCTTACAGCTTATTGTGATTTAGATCATAGCTTGGTTACCCGTTTATGCTGTAGGCTGATAGCTCACACACTTCTAGAAGCATAAGGTGTCATGTAACAAATCACACAACATGTAAATCTGGCCATGTGATATGTCAGTGATTTCAGTAAAGATCATTCAATCCAATCGAGCACGCTGGAGAAAAGGCGGGGCGTGTGGTCCCCACTAACAGTATCTGAATAAAAAGACACCGAACATGCACCTAGAAGCTAGTCTATTGGGCTATTGGATATTTCATTCAAGCTATTCTGGAGAAAAGTGTGAGTCCTACCCATTGTTAGACTAAAATGCCTCATAATGAGGTAAAGGTATCCCTATTCAATACTGAAGCTACAGTAGCCTCCTGGAAATGAACAATTAACATTTGTAGCAGCTAAACCTTAAATACAACCCTGATGAGTGATCAAATAGTATATAAAGTACATTGCCCAAACAAAGTATAGACAAGTCAATTGGTAACAGTCAGGGAATCTATAACAATCACTTAGGGCAAAAGCCATCAGGAAGGAGAGGAAAGATAGACCAGATACAGTGATGTATTACACATCCTTGAAACGGCCAGACAATCCTCCAATGGGGGAAAAAACTAGTGAATGTAGTTCAGGAAACTATCAAGGTCAAGATATCAGAATAACTCAAATTACCAACAGGTCCACAGATTTATAACACTGGGAAAACTAGCCAAGATCAATACCAGGATGTCAAACATATCTACTGGGCTAAAAATAACTCTGAAATGGGACACAGTGCGGCAAACATGGTGTGTATATAGGTCTTAGTGTTGTCACAAGTCTAACAGGTGCGAGTGTGTCTCCGTGGAATTGTCCCACGCTGTGCACAATGACCAAATGTGCTTCCTGGAAATATTCTGAGAGGCGGCACAAGTTGGCTTGTACTGTAGGGGTGTCATTGGGGATGGTCAAGTAGTATCAACGCAATGTGGGTGGTAATGGCTGTTTATATCTGGAATTCAAACACTGAACTTTCAGTAGATGTGTTACAAGAAACCATTATATGCGTTTTGGGGAAAGAATATTCATGATTTCAGTGATTCATCATCTAGGAAATGTAGAAGCAAACTCGCAGCAGGATATAACCCATGCTAGCCTTGCATAGTCTGATTATTTGATCCATTCAGGGTTACATTGTGCACGTAACGACGTTCTGCAGCGCATTTTCTTAAAGACTCTAGATTTTTCTCAACCACATTTTCCACATTTGCTTGTTGGCTGAACTTCCGCCTCTCGAAGTTTGAATACAGAACATTTACAATAAACGCTTATAATCACTAGTACTCTGCAGTAATGAGAACATCACATTATTACGGATCTATATCCAGATCAATTCCCGACTACAGGGACATCAGGAAACACTCTACCCACATAGCCAGAAGGAACCTGAAATAGGTACACAGGTATAAACTGAGATACACATGGATCCCCCAAAACTGGAGCATAATCACCAGATAAAAGAGTTTAACGGATGTTGTCATAAGGCCCTATTTATTTCTGGACAATTAGCCCCCTCCTTCTCCACCGTTTATATTGTGGGGTGGAGAGTAAAAATGGTCGGTCAGGTCATCCTTTAATCTATAGAATAAACGGCCATTTCGTATATGCTGACTTTACGTGTCTGGTTATAAAGAACATGTTATACTTGTTTTTTGTTTTTTTTAAATGTTTTAGGGGGCGGAGCCTGACCGTTGAGGAAGATGGCAGCATAATCCTGCGGCTCCCTCTTCCCAGCGTAATCAATCCGCTATCATCCGCGAGCACAATAGCCCAATCAACCCTAGAGAACCCACAACTCCCACTCTTCCCAGCCAGCGATAGCTCAGAGTGATGGGTGGAGGAAAACAAAAAAAGGAACAGACCCCATCGGTTGCCACGTTCCGCCCGCAGCAAGAACAACGACGGCCATCTTGCCACCAACACACGGAGGAATCCTGCACAGACTCCGATGGGAGCGAACAAGCCAGAGCCCATCATGCCCTGCTAACCCTACACGACATGCAAACCATGCTCAGGGACGCCACAACGGATATCAAACCCTACATGGCATCAGAACTCGATAAAAATCTCTCGGGCCTACGAGAAGATATAGAATCTCTGACAAGCAAAACTGACCATGCGGAGACACGCATTAAAGACCTCACTACCTCCTCCCAAGCACACACACAATATATTACTTACCTGCACGCCAAAATTGAAGCCATGGAAGAAAGTTTGGAAGATCTGAATAACAGATCTCGAAGAAATAATATTTGGATTAGGCACCCGTCACGGTCGCAGAAGAAAACCTACATGCCACGCTTACAGACCTGTTCAAGACCGTACTGCCGGGGTCTCTGCACAGGACCTCCTCATAGACCGGGCGCACAGGGCCCTCAGACCGCCAGCGCTGAACCCGGACGCCCCCCAGGGACATCATAGTCCGCTTACACTTTTTTGTGGTCAAAGAGAGGATTCTCAGTCTTGCCAGGACCACCCCACCACAATACAAAGGTTCCCGTCTGGCTTTCTTCCAAGATCTGGCCCCCTCTACCTTGAAAAAACGGAGGGACCTACGAAAACTAACCCTCACGCTCCAACAACAGGGCATCAGATATATGTGGGACCACCCATTTAAACTAATCGTACGGAGAGAAAAATCAGACCCATATCCTAACACACCCGGCTGAAATTACCCCGTTTGCAGACTCTTAGGGACTTACCCTGCTACCTCCGCTGTCGATGGCAATGGCAGGTACTGGTGGCAGACAAAGACCTCGTGATGAAAGGTTCTCCCGCTCTCCAAGCCGCACAACGTGCAAGAGAACGCCAACATACCCAGAAAACAGGGACTAATAACAACCTCGACTCCCTGTGAGCGCCAAGGAGCACACAGAGGAACTGACAAAAGCGATCAAAGCTTCAAACACTCCGGGAACTGGTAATGCAATTAGCCCCCTCACCTATACTGACAACCATCCTACCCCACATCCCACCGACCCTAAAAGGCCAGGATGCAATCTCACGGACAACAACTCCACAGCACCCCGGAACACCACTGGACCGGCCCTTACCTCCAGCCTTGACCCCGCAGAGATCCCCGCTCACTACAGGGCCCCACCACCCGGCTACCTGACCGCCCGTGTCTGCCACATAATAGGGAAAACTCAAGCAGGCCCTCTCCACCTACTGCAACCACACTACCTGGCAAGTTCTCTGCATACAGCCTCAAGAAACACCACAACAGCATGGAATAGACAGAGGCGAATCCAACACCACCGGAGCCTGCAGAATCTCCTAAGCGCCAAAGGTCATGGGGATGACTGGTAACGGGGTAATACCCAGGGCAACAGCGCCTATATAACCTCACAGCCTAATTTTCTTTAACTTAATAACCATAATATTACCTATATCACCTGAATTGGAAATGTTTTAGCTTAACGTAATAGTCAGGGCCTTAATTCAAGTTCATTTCACACGAGTAGCTCTAACGGGACCTTGAGATGCATGGTTATAGATCTGCACTCTACTCATTTGTAACTCACTTTACTCATATGTAACTCACACCGCTGTGCAAAGTAACATGCAACTCCAAACCCCAAAGGGCCACGCTACAAGTTACCTATATCACCTGAATTGGACATGTTTTAGCTTACGGTAATAGTCAGGGCCTTAACTCAAGTTCACTTCACATGAGTAGCTCTAACGAGACCTTAAGGAGATGCATGGTTAGAGATCTTCACTTTACTCATTTGTAATTCACTCTGCTGTATAATGTAACATGCAACTCCAAACCCCAAAGGGCCACGCCACAACCCAAATACGCCCACCCCCTGCCCCATAACCACCCGCTCTATGCGCACCGACCTCCCCGAGCGCTAAACACAACCACCTGATCCGGGAAGCAGGAACCCCTGCACCTCCGCTCCCTCACCCAGGGCCTTACCAAGCTTGAACCTGAACACAGAGAGAACAGAAGGCCAAAGCACCAAACTGAAGGGCACCCGGGGACGACCACCAAACACCGCCCATAAGCACCTAAAGCTACACATGACTACCGAACCACTGGGCCCACCCAATCCCAAAACAGCAATTAGCAATGCCTGGCAAGCACCTCAATCAACCCCCAGGCCTGAAACCATCCGGCTCCAAAAACCCCCGGCCCAGACCTACACTCCCTACCTGGCAACACACTCCACCACTTCCAGGCCCAGGGGACCCACGGAACACGCCACTCCCTGATCCAGAACTGAGATCCTGGGTCAAGCATACCTTCCCCAGAATGCGGGCACCTATGCCCATATACTAGCATAAGCCCACTTACGCACCCCAGACTCCCCTCCAACGTAAATCCACCCCTCATAAGCTAACCCAGACCGGTTCAGCATCACCTGTCCCCAGGGTCCCGCAACGAAGATTGGACCCTGACCTAGCGCACAGGGGAGTCAAACAGGCAAACAGGAAACTATATCTGTTTTAAGTTTTATGTTAGACTAACATACGTGTTCACTGTTATGTTTAATTGTTCCACTTATAAGAGCGACGACACCGAAGCTCCACCACCGTTCAAACCTCGAACTGAGATACATGAGCACTAAAATGCCAACAAGCTAATATGGTAACGCTGACTCCCACTTCATATGTCAAATGTTCTCTACCCACAGAAGCTGACCCAGTGCGTAAACCTACACGCAGATGCATAGGGAAGAGGGAAACGTAGACCCAGACTTACTACCTCCTCCTCACTCTCTCCTCTCCAACTACATCTACTGGACCACAGAGGACCCGAAAGAACACACCGTACCCCCAGGACGACCTGGCAACACAGACGTAAGACCAGGTTTGCACCCCACACCCACATCCCCTTCTCTTCTCCTCCCACCATCCCCCTCTTTCTCTCTTCAATCCCCCCCCCTTCAGCCCCACCCTCCCCATCTCCGACTGCCCCTTCCATCCGACTCCACTTCCACCACAAACTCCTGGCCCCCCCAAAGGGCGGATGACCCGGCCCCCAAACAAGAACCTTAAGATGCCACCGCAACCCCTATGTGACCCCCCCAGGGACCCAGGGCAAAGTCAAACTCAATAACACGGCCAAAAGACACCGCCTTCTCCAGTGGGCCAACCGATCCAACGCGGACGTAATCTTACTCCAAGAAACTCATTACGAACAAACAAAAGCATTCCCTCTCCAAAACAGGCATTACAAAGAGTGCTATTTAGCAAACTCCCCTAAAAGAAAAACAAACAGGGTAGCCATTCTGGTTTGTAAAACCTGCCCCCTAGCCTTCACACGCTCAGTAACTGACCCCCAAGGACGATACATAACAATAGCGGGACAGGTAGGACCCCACAAATACGCCTTCACCTCAATTTACACCCCCACCCTCCCTGACACTCACTTTTGGAACTCTCTCCAAGTGCACCTCCGCCTCTTCTCCGCCCACCATATGATTGTTGGAGGAGACTATAACACCACTCTCACACCCGAGGAGGACAGATGGCGACCGAGGACCCCTCACGAAAGAACGCCACCGACTACTCGAAACGACAAACTGCTAGAAACCTTTGTTTCCCACACGCAACTCTCAGGTGTATGGAGATTACTCCATCCCACCTCAGCAGACTTCTATTCTAACCCACACTGCTCATACTCGCGCATAGACATGTTCCTCATATCCCCATCCCTACTCCCACATATCACAAAAGCCACAATAGGCTCGATCACCTGGTCGGATCATGCAGAAATACTCCTCTCCTTTACCCTCCCTTACACGACCAGGAGCTGAACCTGGAGACATAACCCTATACACCTACATGACACGACTATTAGGAACAAACTCCAACAAGACATCACAGACTATTTTGAAACCAATAAAGGTACTGTCACCTCCACCTGCACCCTATGGGCGTCCCACAAGGCAGTCATACGGGGCAAGTTGATAGCAGCAGCCACGGCACATAAAAAAACAACAGCTACAAACACTAGAAACAAATCTGTCCGCCATCAGAACCCTCGAAATCAGACATCAAACGGACCCCTCATGACACAACAGGCACACAGACAGGAAATACACAAATTCATGGCACACAAATTCATGGCACGGGACTCCAAGAAGGACCTTCAATGGACCAGACAGATGTTCTATGAGAAATCCAACAAAGCCCATAGACTCCGTAAAAGAACAAACAACAAACACATAGCCCAAATCCAAACACCCGACGGACAAAAAGGCACCCTACCAGACCAAATAGAGACAGTGTTCCAAAAATACGACTCCTCTCTATACAACCACAACCCCGAAACGCGGCGTAGCCCCTCCGTTACACAGACCAAGATAAAGACATTCCTAGACCACATCCCATGCCTACACTCACGGAGGCAGGGAAACAAGCCCTAAGCACACCCATTACAATTGAGGAAATTACACAAGCCATGAAAACCCTGAAACCCAACAAATGCCCGGGACCGGACAGATTCTCCTGACTATATTACAAAACTTTCCCGTCGGTACTATTACTGCAACTACTATCCCTATTCACATTCATTATGGATGGAGACACTCCACCACCGGACATGTTAAGAGCCAACATATGTCTACTTCCTAAACCCCACAAGACCCAGGCCATTACTGGATGATATCGCTGCTAAACACCAACATAAAACTATTCACCAAAATTCTATCTAACCGCCTGCACCCCTTTCTCCCCAAATTAATCTACCCAGACCAGGCAGGATTCATCCCACACCGCCAAGCATACGACAACACGAGAAGAACATATGACTTAATTTGGACAGCTAACCACCGACGACAGCCAACCCTCCTTTTATCCCTTGACGCCGAAAAGGCTTTCAACCGAATCCTCTGGCCCTACCTGTTTGCAACACTTACCAGAATGGGATTCTCTAGGATCTTTGTAGACAGCATAAGAAGCATATATTCCCACCCTACAGCGAATCTCCTCATCCCGAACACCCAATCTCCCTCCTTCACCATACACAACGGCACGCGACAGTGGTAACCCCTATCTCCCTTGCTCTTCGCCTTGTCACTAGAAAAAAACGGAGAACATCTCAGGAATTCGCATAGACGAATACAAAATAGCGGCCTATGTGGACGTGGATCTATCTATGGATATAAGTGGATCTATTACTTACACTGACAAACCCAGACACCTCATTACCTCCACTGATGGCCCTCCTGGACGACTACGCCACGATATCAGGATACAAATTGAACCTCACTAGACACCCTAACCACATTGAAAACAAACAACCCGTTTCGTTACGAATCACAAAGCATTCGGTACCTGGGGACACAACTACCAGGGAACCTTCTCACGTATCAACTTAATTACCCCCCTACTGGAAAAAGCCACACAAGACCCTGACATGTGGCAAAACCTTTCCATCTCGTGGTTAGGTCGCCAAGCCTCGGTCAAAATGAATTTACTTCCGCGCTTCCTCTACTTGTTCCAAGCCCTACCCATCTCCAGACGTGACTTTAAAACCCTACAATCCCGAATAGATAAGTTTATATGGGCGGGAAAGAAAGCCAGAATCAAGAGGTCAACACTCTACATTCCTTACAAGAAGGGGGGCCTGGGATTCCACAACATCTGGGATAACCACCAGGCGGACGAATTAGCACAAATTCAGACCCTACATGCCCCGGCGGGGCTCAAAATGTGGGTCGACATTGAACATGACCTATTCGGCCAAGATTTCCCCTGCCTGTACTTGTGCCTACCCAAACAGGACATACCACAAACTCCCCCCACTACAACAGCACTCACACACTCAATCCAACTCTGGTATAGAATGACGCGGAATCACAACCTCATTAACACCCCCTCCCCATTAATGCCAATCCTCCGGAATAAACAATTCCAACCCGGAATGACCCCACAACAAACCGTGAGATACAAAGACAACAACCTGATCCGATTCTACAACACCTCTTACCCTTTACGGACCTACTGCATAACAGTAGGTACCTGCAAATCAGAAGCTTCCTGACCCACCTAAGCAACCAAACCACAGCTACCACCACACTCACAGCCTTTGAAAAAATGTGCATGAACGCACCAGTGCAGCGGGGACAGATCTCTACCATATACGGCATCCTACACCACACAAGCACCCCCGACGCCCTATCATACACCACAGCATGGAAGCGGGACATAGGCCCCCCGCAGACCCATCTGACTGGCAGGACATTTGGGAGGCCACGGCGGCACTCATGATATGTGTAACACACAAAGAACAGGCATACAAAACTGTTTCGCTGGTACCTCACCCCCTTAAGATTGAAACAAATGCGCATCGCGACCTCGGTTGTTGGAAAGGGTGTGGAGAACAGGGCACATACATCCACCTATGGTGGAACTGCCCTCATGTGGCCCAACTATGGCACGAAATGGCCCAAATGGTCAACAGGGCACTACATAGACCCCTGGATCTGGCTCCTATCAAAACCACATAACACACTCACCAAGGCACAAAACAAAATGGCGGCCCGGATTGCGTTGGCCATCTGGAGAACTATAGCCAGACACTGGGGAAACAACACCATCCCATCCGCACGAGAGGTTATCCGGAAAATAAATGAAACCATGGAAATGGACAAACTATCAGCTCTAGTGCACGACACAACCACCTCCTACTACAAAATTTGGGACCCATGGCTCACTAAAACTACGATGGCACAGTAGACCCCGGGACCAAAACCAATCACCTCAGCCAGGAATATCCCCTCTTCTTCAACACGCCCCCCCTTTTATCTTTTATTTTTTATTATTTTTATTTTTTTCTCACTCTCTCACTATCCTCCCATCTCCCTCCCTTTCCCCCCACCCAACAATGAACGCACCCACAGAACAAGACCCCCAACCACCCCTCTACCCCAACGGAGCCTTCCAACAACTTAAAACTGAACCATGACTGTTAGATAACAGAAAGAAAATACACTACAGTCAGACAAACCCCACAACAGCAACCACAGAACACAAGACCGACCCAAGCACTAAACGAATGGCAGGCCACCTGCAATAACAATAGGCCCACAAATAACTGTTCAAAGGAAATGCAAAAACGGTGGCAACAAAAGGGACTCCTGTTGACACGCAATGCAACAATTACCCAACAAATACTTAAGACACTACCATAAAAACATAGCACAACCAACCGAACCCCCACCCACATTTCATACCAACTACAATAACCTCATCCCACTCTCCTACACTAAAGACTAGAACCGCACACTCAACTACAACCTTTTACTGAAAGGTTTACAAAGCGATATAAAAGGTATATGGAAAAAGACATACCCCACCTCCCCCTTCTTTTATGTACCCCAACCCATCCTAAAACCAACAAAACCCTGACGACACACGACAGCCTCAGCCCATACAGACAACGAGAGCTTACCAACCTAGGCCCCAGATTCCGATCTAACCAAACCTAAGAACTATACAAACCACTGTTTGATGGAAACAGACATTAAGCTCCTGTAAAAGCAAAACCAAGGGTGTTTGCAAATATTAGACAAACACTATGAA